TCATTCTCTTTCTCTCTCGGGTGACACAAATGAATATTTTCTTTCTGACATTTAGGTGTATTTGTTTATATGTACATCAGATTATCGGGCGTCTTATTACTGAAGTTAAAATCCTTCTATACCCTGAAATACAATCGTATCTGTTGCCCTAAAGTTTATTGTATCAATTTATCCTTTGCCGCCTTATGAATTTGTTATATATGTTGCCCTATCAAAACATACACTGGGGCCTGGTTCTCCACCATTTTATCTTCTGATACTACTTTGGACTTTATAATAAATGAAATTTAAATTTGGCTAGAGAACTAGGTCTAGATTGGTTTTGAAAGGACTATCGCGTTCTTGAAAGACCTAGCGCTTTTTGGAATTTCCGAATCTAAGGCTTTATATTGATTCAAGAGTTTAATTACTTTAATAAATGAATGTCCAGGAAAATTCTGCGCGTCTTCTAAGTCTAGATCTAAATGCCTATCATTGCAAAAGTGTACCAAAGTGTACTAGATCTATACATTCGCTTAACCAGGATTCTTTCTCGGCGGAATGGGGCGGGGTAAAAAAAAAGTGTTATTGTTTTTCTTTAAATCTAACATTCATTAGCTATTAAGAGAAAGGCAATCGCTCTATAAGTTGTATAAATGGGGTATTATCTTTTTCAAAAAGTGTATTTAATGTTTTCTTGTTTCTCCTCCTCCCCCCCCCCCCCCCCAAACAGAAGTACGGGAAAATCTGTGAGAAAGGTTACGAGATTAGCGGCACCGAGTGTCTACGGAATAACGTCCTTTATTTCAACGACACCTCCCCCCGGAGCTCCGTCCCTGACACTTTGTATTACTTCTGCAGCAAGAGTGGCGTGTGGTGCAGGAACAGGGACCAGTACAACAGCAGCACCACATGTGGAGACTACGCCATTAGATACAAGTGTAGATGTACGTATGAGTTTGGCAGCCGTGACGTCGCTAGGATATACAACAGCATCACTAGGACATGCAACAGCATCTCTAGGACATTCTATAAATATCATCTTTATGACATACAGCATCACTAGGACATTCTACAAATATAATCTTTATGACATACAGCATCACTAAGACATTCTATAAATATCATCTTTAGGACATACAGCATCTCTAGGACATTCTACAAATATCATCTTTAGGACAAACAGTATCTCTAGGACATTCTAAAAGCATGTTTAGGACATACTAAGACTAATACTGCTTTGTTGACACTTATTTGATATTTGAAGTGATTTTTATTTTTTATTTTATTTTATTTTTTTTTATTTTTCAAATGTTAGCGTCTCTAGCGTTTACTTTCCAATCCAGCGCGGGGAGCGTGGTTGAGAGGCTAAGTGCGCTTGAACTTAGCGTGCCTACCTAGAAGGGGGGCTCGAGGTTCGACACCAGACTCGGGCAGAGTTGCGTTTACTGAGCGCCTAAAGGCACCACGGAAAACCAACTCCTAGATACCCCCTCCCCCTCCCCCCCCCCTCCCCCCCACCGGTCCACAAATGAGATTGGACCAAAGCACTCTGAGCATATAAGCATGAAAAGCGCTATATAAAAAAAAAGCTATAAAAGCTTGTCGTCATTTCCTGTCTAACCCTAGCGACTCTTTTGTTTTGGGTTCTAGATTACTACAGCCTAAATAAAACTAGTTTACGATTCCTCTCGCTATTGGACAATTTCACGATAACAGACTTGAGTAGCACCTTTAGTAAAATCACTAAATTTTAAAAAGCCTACAATATAGGGGACTTGAAAGTAAAGTAGCAATTATACATAAAACACTGCACCATAATCTTCATATACAAAACTTAATAAAATACTGAGAAAGACACAAGGTTAAAGGCACATGGCAAATTTCATATGCTAGGACAAATTTATACAAATGCTCCTTCTTCCCTTTAGTAAAATGTGAGCATTCCTTTGTTATGAATCTCACAGCTCTATTTTGTGTCCAATTTCATAATTTTATAGTGTAACTGATCAAATGCGATATTCATAGTTTAATATGTACATAAAATATGTAATATAAAAGGCGAACATATTGTTTAAAAATATTCGTCAAAATGTTGTTTTGCAAGAAACGTAATTTAAAATAATGAATTAAATTTTTCCCTTTCCTTTGAAACAAAGAAAATATGTGTATCTGATCAACATCAACACCGCACTACTAAAAATTTATTCTCGACTATAACTTTTATTTAATAAAACTACGAAAGAATTAAGTCTTTTTTTTTATTAAATTAAACAAAAAAGTATGTCACCTTTATGTTTCAGACTCAGAATCCGGAACGAACAGTGACTCTGGGATGTTTCCCCAATTTGACGTCAGGATTTACATCATACTGGCTGTTGTTCCGATACTCATTTTCATAGCCCGTCTCTTGTGGACCTACGTTTTCAGGAATCGCAGACAGAGGCGCCGAGAGGAGAGACGGGCGAGGCGCAGGGCGCAAGGGAGATATGACGACGATGAAAGTTCGGCAGCACCGGGCGCTGCTAAACCCCCTCCCTCGTACCAGGATATTTTCGGAGAGCCCGGCCATTTCAAGACTTCAGTGTTTGCAATATCGCGTGAGAACTTGCCAATTTGTTCCACTTGCCGTGGACTTCCTTGCAGTGTGGCGAGAGTGATCCAAAGCGGGGGAACTAGGTCTCAGAAAAACAGTCCGATAATTAGATCTACAACGATAACCGCAGATCCTGAGGCCCATAACACAACTAGCTCTCCAAATGAAGACGATTCATCCACTTCAAATGTCTATGGTAACTGTGATAACTCTCAGGTCTTAGAGCATTCTGCATCAGAGGCTGTGCAAGAAAGCCCAGCTATACAGAACAAAGAAGATTTTGTTGAAATAGATCTAACTACACCTTCATCTTCCAGAGAAGGACCCGCAGCCACCTCCGGAGCGATTCAGCTCGTGCAAATAGAAAATGAACTATTACCTCAGGGATATCAGGCAGACGGACAAGCCTCGTCTTCGCCCCAACATAGCACAGAAGCAAATTCCACTGTATGTCTGTCTATCAGCCCATTAAAATTACATGCATCGCCTCTAAGCATTTCACAGCCGTGTCCTTGTGTGTGTCACAGAACCATTCCTTTCAGTCACTATAAAGAATTAGGATACGACAATTCCGCCTTCTCAACGGAAGGGGATATTACTCGTCCCTTTCCCGGCATGCACGTGCCACCAATCCCAGACATTCATAGGACGTGGTCGCACGTGTCAGTCATTACCCAATCAGAACTCCCGTCTTATGAAGCCGCACTAGAGCTCATGAATAAAGAAACAAAAGAGTCTGAAGATGGAGGTAGCTGAACATAAATAATCTTTCTAACTATGTACGAACTTGATAATTAGTTAACTGACGTCATTAACGCCGCAGGATATTAGCAATGACACTGAAGTCATTGTATATAGATCTATGTAAGTAGGCCTAGGCCTACGTAGGCGATTAAATGTTTAAAGAAACAAAACGGTTTTAAAACATTTGATTTTTGTAGGCCTAATCATTATAGAAATGACCTTCACCTTGCTCTAAACGCATTTTTGTGATCATATTGTGAGGATGTGTTTTAATAAACATTCTGTCCTAAGATCTTTCAATGCCAACTAAAACTATTGAATCGCAACCAATACAATGGTGCGGACATCATCTTTTTTTCCCCTCGAGACCTAGATCTACTTATTCCTTAAGCTGTATTAATAATTAGAAGTACCATAAGGCCAAAATGAAACCAGTACTTCAATTAATATTTACAGAAGTAGTAGACTCTAAGTAGGCCTACATCAACTAACAAGCAGGCAACAATTGAACATCTAGGTCGTCTAAGTAAGTAAGTTTTGTCGTCTGCGCCTTCCTTCGGCAAGAGCTTTTATTTTGGGACGCCTATGTGTATCTTGCAACACAGATGCAAAATATGCAGGTATCAACTGGGTCTGCATGGTTATGTGAAGCACTTCACTGGTTCTTCGGAATTGAACTCAATGCTTTAAAGTATGCTGTAAAATGAGCCACGTTCGGATGATAGCCTACACAGTGTGTCCTTAATCAGTGTGTGTAGAACACATTAGCCTACTTTGTCAGGTAGACCGTTTCTTGCACACAACTTAGTGCTACCAACTCTAAAACAAAGCCAAATAATTAGGTCTACAAGAAAGTTTTTTAAAAATACCTGCAGTTTGCGAAACCAATGATATGAACTCTAATCAAAGTTGTCCCAGTTAATAACTTAGATGCATGCATATAGCGTTGGTATCCTAATGATATTACAGTTCATGTGCATTAAGATATACTGCACCATGCTGGATTTCTTTTTAAACCTTAAGACATACTGCAACATGATGGATTTCTTTTTTAACCTGACACACATCAAATTGTTCTATGTTTCTTTGAGCCAAAGCTTGAGACTTAAATATATAACCACTACTTCACTTCATTGTTTATCAGCTGCAGTGACACTGGAATGGATTTTTTAACAATTTTACCAAGCCTGTGTTTGTGTGTAGACCTTTATATACAAATCTATGATTGCATGTTGTTATTACAGACATCTGAGTTTGTGGTGTGACCAGTAAACAAAATATTTGTTTTCAACTTTGTCAACTTCTATAATAAAGGTAGTAAGCTTTAAATAGTTTAAACTGAGGATTTGGAAAAAACAAAATCAAAACATTCTTATCATATGAATATATATTCTAGATCCGGATAGATCTATTGTAAGATTACTACATTTTAAAGTGTATATTGATTCTAGTTTATTTTAACTTAAGTTTAGCAAGTCCATCTTAACAAGTTGCACACTCAAAGAGAATGAATGTTTTATATCTTGTTGAAACAATGATACAAGTTTCTTATTAACAATTTTCATAATTTAAAATACAAGTCTTATGGTGCTTTTATAGTCTTACTCTTATAGAAATATAGAGAATGTGTTACATTGTATAGTGATGTAGAGTTTCTGTTGCTATTATAGCCTTGTTAATCTTTTTTTTTTGCCCTGAGATGGCAAAAGTGTGCAATTGTTTTTCTATTGGAAAAAGAAATGTAGACTATGCTAAAATATATCAGATGTATGGCTTGAATGGGAATTTAAAGTTGGTTAGTCAGGTGTTGACCAAAACATTCCATCAGTTTTCAGGTAACATGATTGTGGATGAAGCTGTAAGGTATTATGATTGTGGATTGTAAGAAGTGAGCTGCCTGTCTGTATGGTACAAAATGTGTCTCTAGATTCTTAAGATATTACTAGCATGTGTTGTGACAGAAAACCTGTGAGCACTTTGATAGAACTCTCATCTCATTTTTTTGTATTGTTAATCTTTCAGTTTTACTGTGAAAATATTTCTACATCCATTTCTAGTGTTTATTATGTAATATTTCAAGTATATGTCATAATAATCTTGTCTTGCTGGTGTATACTCTGAACCAAATGTCTAGACTATGTCAAAACTTGAAATCTATCTGTGATGTCACACATATATATTTTTTTATACTAAGAATTTATCTCTTTGTTTTTACTAAATAAAGATTTTTGTTTTCATCTAATGAACTTGGTGCAAACATCACTATTAGTCTTATAGGTCAAAACAGTACTACTAGTCTTTTAGGTCATAACATAACTATTAGTCTTATAGGTCAAAACATCACAATTAGTTTGACAGCAACATTGAGTTAGCACTTCTGCTCCAGCCTCATATAAAAGTTCCCTTACAGATCTTGCCATCTATGTGGCAGGTGATGTTAAGGTCATCTGTGTCTATGGGCAAGGTGTCATGTTGCCAACACTACGACCAACCGCCTTTACTTTCCCCAATTAAAGTCAGGTACCCATTAGAGTTGGGTGGACTTAGGGGCGCCCTGAAAATCCCAAAATTCAAAATCCCAGTCTTCACAGAGATTTGAACCCAGGAACCCAGGTTCGGAAGCCGGGCGCTTAACCACTCAGCCACCGCAACCCCCACCAGCCTCATATGCAAAGCCATTTTGATTTTCTTACTTCTAAGCTTACATTTTATGCTAAAACAGGCTCAGAGAACATTTGTACACATCATATAGTTATATTGGCCTCCATGGGGACAGATCTGCTATGACTGAAGTGACTAATTGTATGGTTCATATATGTATGTATACATATTTTCAAAATCGATGATGAAATTGACTTCTATGTATCATCCTGCCAATGAGACTTTCGTCAACTGTATAGGCCCCCAGCAGCGCTCACTGCACTTCAAACAATGCTAGTAGATTTAGCTGCCATCTCACGCAAGATTTAAGTTTAAAACTTAATCCCCTTAATGGAGTAATTCACCCAGAGACTCAGTTTCCAACATATTCCATTCTTTCAGACAAACAATAATACTAAAAGAACACCACCAATGAAAAGAAAGACTAAATACTTAAAAAAAACAGAACAAACTCAAAAAAGTTTTAATTTTAGGGAGAAGTTTTTAACATTTCAAGACTAGTTACAAATCTTGAAGAACACACACAAGAGTCTTTGAGAAATGTTGCCCAATCTGAACACTTTGCTTTGTGTCAAAATGTATTCACTAAATTGTCACAGCTTTCAAGTCAATATGATCACCGCATGGACAAAAAATGATCTATAATAATGACATTGTAATAGTTATGCATACAAGATTGTGCAAAGAAAGCGTTGAGATAGTTTGGTGGAGAAATGTAGAAGCCACATCAGAGCCTTAATTGATATTCTGACATCAATAGACTAAATGTCATCAACCTTCAGGATAAAACAATTTAAAAGATTATGCAAGCATTAAAGAATGACAGGGTGCATGGTGGCTAACAGATAAAGGGTCTGGAGTTCAAATTCACTCTGCAGCTTTTATGTTGTTTTTTTTTAACTTTTTATACGATTGGAGATTTTAAAAAAGCCCTTTCGGACTTTGCAAGCTTTATTGTATTTTATTGTAGATGATATAAAGAGGATGTGGTGGCTGAGTGATAAAGTGTTTGACTTATGAACCAAAGGGGGGTGTCAGGTTTGAATCTCAGAGAAGATTGAGATTTTTAATTTCTGGATTTTTAGGATGGACCCAAGTCCTCGTAACTCTACTTGTACCTGACATTAGCTGTTGAAAGTAAAGGAGATTGGTTGTTGTGCTGGCCACATGATTCAATAGGTCATAGTAACAGTTTACCATATGGGAACTTGTTCAAAAGAAAATGATTAAAACAAGTTATGATTGACAATATGTAAAAAAAAAAAAAAAAAAGTTTTGGCTGTGATCTGCAGTACTATTGGATTCCCCCAGTCAGAGAAGAAACAACATTGCTCTTTGTGCACAAATATTATGCCAGAGAAAAGTCAATTGTCAACAAAAGCTAAATGGACCAGAGTAAGCTCTAAAGAAAATCAAAACAGCCACAAGAACAATTTCAAATCATTGGAAACAAAATGGGAGAAAAAAAAAAAGTTGTAAAAGTCTAATTGAAAAAAAAAAAGTTGTAAAAGTCTAATTGAAAAAAAAAAAGTTGTAAAAGTCTAATTGAAAAAAAAAAAAAAAAGAAGCATAAAAGTAAATAACAAGGTTTAATAAATAATCAGTACAAAAAGTATCCACAAAACAAACCAACAGATTTTTTTTTTTGACATTTTCTTCTGATGAAGAACGCCAAAACATTTGTGTGTATAAAATAAAAAAAAAATAATTTTTTAAATTAAATGATTTAAACATTCATACGAATCTATTATGCTTAAAATGACAGCCTAACTATCATATTGGTATAAAAAAAACAACTATTGCAACAATAAGATTATACAAATGTGTATTGTAGCCAATATCAACATTCACATACAGCTGTAAAGCATGAGGTCTGTTGGATGAAACCCTCAATGAGTTGATGACACACACAAAAAGCAGTAAACCATTATTACAAATACACAATATTGTACAGTAACAAAACAAGGTGTCAGCTGTTTGTTATATCACAGACACAGAACAAAAGGAGAGACATGGTCTTTTTATGACAACCCTGGGAACCACAATAGATTGAAACATTTGCAACATACAACACCAACTTCTGCAGGGATGTACAGCTTTTGGACATTAAAAAAAAAAAAAAAAAAAATCCATATACATCATATTCCCATAGCATAAATAATTCTCAACAACAATAATTGCACTGAACAAAAAACTCAATATCAGTGCTCAGTGATTGACACACTAACAAGTATGCTTTGTTACCAAATGAGTGGATGAAATGATTTCTAATAAGAAAGAATGGCCCTGTAGCTAAGTTTATTTTCCTTGATCCTAAGTTGGACATTGGAATGTGGAAAACAGTGTGAGACTCAGACCTATCTTTATAATTAGACCTGAACAGTGACCTGCGACGTAGCTAACGTCAGGTTAAACCAATAGCTCATTGCCGTGTCACAAGTTGTAACATTGGACCTGTGACATGGCAATGTGCTATTGGTCTAAACTGCCCACAGGTTGCGATAGCAGATCACTGCTCAGGCCTTCTAAATGATTGGTCTTGGTGAGATGCACACATTCACATAAAAAAATCTCTTTAATTTTAAGTGGACTGAGGTTGCAGGAGTATGATTAAGAACTTGAAATAAGTCAGTCAAAGTCTAGCAGACAGAGAGCACTGAGACTGTATAATGGAATGATTGAACTTGGAGAGATGCAGAAGCAAAAAAAAAAATAACAAATTAAAGCAAGCAGAATTAAAGAAATGGAACACTCTTGGTATTTGCAGTTTGTCAATCTAAAATGGTTGAATTAGCTAATTTTTGTAATTGTAGAAAGGTGTAGAATGTTTCATTTTATTTATATTAAAAAAGTATATTAACAAGCTTAATACATCAAACACAGGTGGAACAAATGAAGTTAGAGCTGCTAATCAAGGCAGACACTTGTGCAGGATATTCTGACAAATGTAGAAATAAAAGTTGTCAAGCATACAATACACACGACTGTAAACCTGTAGGAAGTATTAGGTCTGCTGTCACGACAGCAAACAAACAGTCCTACCAAAGGATCTTAAACCTGAATATAGTTGGCAAAGTATTTACTCCAGAGACTTAGCTAACATTGATTTTCAGAGAGTTATTACACAAACATTTTATGATGGTGGAAATTTTAGAAGAACAACCAAACCAATGTCATGGGCCAAGTATCTCTTGGGTGGGTGGGGGAGATATGGGTGTAATCAAGTGGGCAGTAGACCACACAAAGTAGCCAAAACACTAGGACCAGTCTGATGTCCTCCAAAATGTTTGGCCAGACAAAGCCTAAGTAAGCTAACACAAGAGGCTACACTACAACTTTCAGACAATTTAGGCACAAAATACAGTGTGATATAAATCTCCAGATTCAAGGAGTTAAACCCCAGACTTTATTGCTCTGTATGAGGTAATTATCACTGCGTTCATAATGTGAATGTCTAAATTGAACATCTCTTCTCATTACAGAAACTGAAAAAAACAACTCAAAGTCTATCATTTGAATGATCACATCTTTGCTTCTATTTCTATGCTAGTAACACAACACACTTCAACAGGCACAAGGAATGGGGTGAAAGGGAGGAAGATGGAAGCTTTTAGGTGACACTTTTAAAATGATGGCATCTTGCACTCATGCATGAAAAAAAACAAAAAAAAACATTTTAAAATTGGGGTAGAGGAGAATGAGAAGAGTTTGGGGGGGAAGGGGAGCATGCTGGAATGGTAAGTGTGTGTGTGTGGGGGGGGATGACTGTGAAGATATTGCTGTATGTATCAAAGTTATAAGAGTTTGATTACACAGCAGGGATGCAACAACGGTGGACAGTATGACAAAATTACAACTGCACTTCTGTAGGCAACATTAGCAACTATATGAACCTCAAATGTGGGCATCAACAGTCAGCATTATTTACATTAGAAGAGATTCTCAAAGTGTGTACACTGACACATCCAGATTTCAAACAAAAAAAAAACATAAGAAGCTGACGTATAGCTTTCAGCAGAGAACCAAATCCTTTAATAATATGAATGGCTGAAAAACTTGAGATCTGTTCCAGCAAGTCACAGTGTAACACATACAGGATGGAAATATACATAAATAATGTATATGGAAATGAATGTCCAGTCTATGAAGGATTACAGTATGACAAAGACAAAATACTGTAGGCTGTATAAGTTGAGGAAATGTTTGTACATCAGCATTAAAAAAAAACATTTTTGAATCCCATATCTGATTCATTCTTAGTCTCATCGAATATCATTTCTTGTTACAGGCTCTCCAAGTCTTAATAATTTATTGCACTCTGTTCCTCATTGGTCAGTTCCCAATATAGTTATTCAATCATACAAGTTCTTCTTAACATCAACCAATGTCTAGATTGGTCATGTGGATTGACCCTTCATGTCCCTGACACTGTTCAATATCCTCATCCTGTGCTCCCCATCTCTGACACCAAGCTTCATGATGCTTGCAGCAGTCAGCTGGGAGAGTGACCCGATGGAGTCCCAGCCACTGCGCAGGAAAGCAGATGTATATTCAGACAATCCAAGTCCTTTCAGCCAATCCTGCACTGTGGTGGGCTTCTTCAGTTCTTCATAAGGCCGAATGGCAATAGACGGATAGATATTCTAGAAACAAAAGAACAAATTAGGTTAGTTGTTTATTTTTAACAGATGAAGCTCACTGAACACATCCTATCCCTATCACATCCCATGTCAACTATGAGTATTCAGGGGCAACTTAAGTCAATGAACAGGAGGTCCCAGGTTCGAATCCTGGTGAAGACCTGGAGTTTTTATTTTTGGGATCTTGAGGGCATCTCGGAGTCCACCCAGCTCTAATAGGTGCCTCTCATTAAGTGTGAAAAAGTAAAGGCAGTTGTTAAAGGTGGGCCACAGAAACGGGTGATCTTAACATCATCTGTCCTACAGACCGCAAGGTCTGAAAGGGTAACTGAACACATCCTATCAATACATCATGTCAACTATGAGTATTCAAAGGCACTGAATTTTTAATCCAATGAACAGAAACTACATTTGTTTTTTGCATCTAAAAGTTGAGAGAAAAAGAGTTTGCAAAATTGTGGGAGGCTTCAATCACAGCTGTGATATATAATTTTGCCAAAGATAGCCTTTAGATGTTACATTTAAAATCTAGACACTGTTGTCCTGACTAGATCCTTAAATAATACAGACGTTACTTCAAAAAAGAAGATGATTACGTCCTACGCGTCATGCATACTAACCAATGACTTAAATTCTGCCAAGTCACTGTTTTTCCTGGCTAGCTCAGGCAACCCATTCCATGCTCTAATAGCACTAGGGAAGAAGGAGCATTTGTACAAATTTATCCTAGCATCCTCATGAAATCTACTGACTTTAAGAACAGCAGTTAAAGTGTACATGTAATTATGGTCCACAGATTGATACTAGAGATTAACAGATCAAATATAAATGAGATAATTTATAATGGACCACTAAATTAAAATCTAAAGTAAAACACTATAAGTTTATAATTATAAAAAATTTAAAAAACTTATTAAAACATTTCTTGGTTTAAAGAAGAAAAACAAATGTAAAAAAACAAAAAAACAAATAAAAACAAAACAGCTACTTGTTCTTTTTGTCACAAAACAAATAGATCTAGATGGTGCTAAACCAGAAAACTAAAAAACAAAAGAGTTGAGATTACAATAGAATATTGTTGAGTTTAGATTAATGTTGCTGGGGAGATTTAAAACCACAGATGAATTTAACCGAGAATCAGCAGGTCCACGGGTATTTAAACACTTTCAGTTCTTTCAATAAAAATGCATTTATAACACTGAATCATTCTAAACTAAAGACTGTTTTAAAAAAGTTATTATATGGCAGACTTTTAGTGTCTTCTTTTTTTTTGAGCCTGAATCACATTCAAGGGATGAAACTCTAGGTTACTCATTGCCACATCTACATTGAACTTTCAGAAATATCTGCACACAAACATTAACAGTTGAACATTTCATAGACCAAAGATATCAAGAATTCAAAAACCAATTTAGACTTCTATTTCATTTTTTTTTTGCTTACTTCTAAATATCAGGACACTAAAACACCAATCAGCCAGTTCAAACTTAGGCCATTCAATTCAATAAGGCAATGTTTACCTCTGTCTCAGGGAAAGGAGGAGCTGTCGGCGTCAACTTAGGTTTAGGTGACATGTGAGAGAACACACTCTCAGTCTCCAATCGCTGACCTGCAAGTGGTGAGTTTCGCAGCGGAGGAGATTCTGAATCTGACTTCTTCATGGCCTGATTAAATGCTGGAAGAGGGTACATGTTGGACTTGACCTTGTGTCTGGAGGCTGTGGGTGGGGATGGTGAGGAGCCTGCTTCAGGTTTCTTAGACAACAAAGGGTGTGCGTGTATTGCTTGAGTGTGTTTAGTCCATAAGCTTTGGTCCATTCCCCTGGCGACATCTGAGAAGTACACCAGGCCGTCTGAACTTCTCTCTGTTATTCTTCCCATTGCTGGCATTTTGTTGCGCTTGTTGGGGAGTGGCGGGGGATCCTGGACAGCCGGTGTTTCTGGAACGGGGTCAGACGGCACTCTCCTGGTAATGTTGTGGTTGACATAGTGGGAAGGAATGTCCAGGGGGGTGTCCTCATCTGATGGGTGGATGATGAATCCAGAAGTTGGTGATGTCTGAGAAGAGGCACCCATGGCCTGTGCAGGGTCGCATGGGGGAGATAATGGAATGAAATCCTCAGGATCATGGTACTCTGTATCTAAGGCCACAATTTCTGGTGATAAGAAAATATATTTGGAGAGAGTTAACTTTCTGATACCTTTACTGATACTTATTTTCTATATCAAATTATTAAATGAATCTTAAGTGACAAACTGGTTTTAACAGGTTTCCATTGAAAACTGTTAACTTATTTTTCTGAAAGATCAGTTAACAACAAAGCAGCTAAAGGCAACTTTCATAATGGCGGGTAGTTATATGCGTTATTCAATAGTTACAAAGTGATAATAATACAATGCAATATGTGGGATTCCAAAGTTTACCGTAAGTCTTCCTGCTCGGTTTTGAGACAAGTGCACCACTAGTTCCAGTTGACACATACCACTCTCCTCTGTAAGTAAATAGACAATAGCATACTGGATCAACATGTGACTGATGTGGGGTATGATGTAGAACCACTTCAAAATTAAAGTAAATTTAAAGGAATCATATTTCTATGTTAAAAATGGTTATCCTGCCAGAATATAACAAAATACGCAAGTATGTGATTTTAAAGACGACTCAGAACAGCCTAATAATAATCAAATAGAAATGCAGATTTATTGCATGGCTAAACCATAACTTGACTTGTAGATGACGACACATATTTGCTGCAGATACTATATGGTTG